ACTGCCTGGAAAAATATTTTTATTGAAAAGATACGGAGCAATTACCAAAGAAATCAAGATTGTAGACAAACTAATGAAACTTAAATTCGTACTTGTATTATGATATTGTTCTTGATTTGTATTCGTAGAAGTTCCAGAAAAAATTTACATAAAATATGGGATAATTCTTAAGGATCTGGAGTTAAGTTATGCTACCTAGCAATGAGCGAGAAAAGGTTTCGATCTCGCATAAGATGTCTACGGTTCGATGATGTAAAGACAATACAAGAACAGAGCGAAGAAAAATTGATAAAACTTGCACCCATCAGAGAACTTCTGGAAATATTTTTGGTGAATTTTCTAAATAACTTCTTTCCTAGTAAGTAACTTACAGTAGATGAACAACTATGAACATTTAGGGGAAGTTTTGCATTTAAGCAGTATATTCCAACAAAGCCAGCCAAATATAGCATTAAAACATTTTCAGTATATAAATATCAGTAACGATATAACTCTTCGGTTGGTAAAGCCCATCGCAGGTACCAGTCGTAATATTTCGGCAGACACCTGGTTTAGCAGTTATCATTGGTCAACAGTTTACTGAAGAAAAATCGTACATATTTGTTTCTGCCCCAGAAAAATCGAGAAGTTAAGTCATCTCTTTTTGGTTTTCAAGCTGATTGTACTATGTTGTCATATGTCCCAAAGAATAGTCAATCGGTGGTATTGATATCTTCCATGCGCAATGATAATGCTACAGATGAAGATATTGAAGATGCTAGAAAGCCAGTAATGATCTCTGATTAACAACACCAAAATCGGCGTGGATATGGAAGATCAATTGTGTCAGAATTATAACGTCGCAAGAAATACACGCCGTTGGCCAATTGTTGTGTTTTCCAATTTATTGACTATTCCTGGTATAAATGCCCTCTGCGTGTATAAGGCTAATCATCCCAAACAGAGAATAAAACGCAGTGACTTTTATGAAAAGTGTCATTGGGAATTAATCCGACCACAAATTAAAGTGAGAGAAAAAATTTCTCGCTTGCCAAGAGAAATGAGGAAGCGAGCCCAATCTCTGCTGGGCATAAAAAATAATTCCTCTCAACCCTCTGTGCAACCGTAGAATTACGTCAGGCGTTGCCTAGAAATAGAAACAAATCTTCTAGAAAGTGCTGAGCGTTTGCATGTAAAACCCACATAAAAGAAATCTGCAAAGATTGTTTTACTGACTAAAAATGTGATGTTTTTTGTGTCTCATATAATATTTAACAGTCCTTTTATTTATGTGATTTTGGGTGATTTTGTTCAAGACAAGTATTGTTTGGTACAACAATTCTTCTGTTGTCAAATTTACACTCAAGTTCTTATCAAAGCAAAATAAATTTAATGGTTAATAAAAACTTTAAAATGTATGGATAGCCTTCTTATGGTCTGGTAAAGAAATAAGTAGACCTTTAGCTATAAAACGGATCAGTATCATTAACAATAATTCAACAAATATACCTAATGCAGTATTATTATTAAAACAATGAAACTTTTATGTTTAATAATATAAATCAAATGGTCTACGATCGTAGACCGCGTGAACAAACCCCGTCTCAGTTTACCACGTGCCTAACGGAGGGTTAATAAATTAAATATAGAATATAATATAGAACAGGGGTGCTCAAACTTGAACTGCTGGCGATCTACCTCAATATTTTAAGACTACTTACGATCGACTCTGAGAGACTGCAAGTGTGTGTGATCCAGGGTTGTCGTACATACACAATACACCCTACCTACCTAGGTAGGGCGTACCGTAGCATATATAGATATTAGCTTTCTGCACAATATAGGTACATTATTTTAGTCAAGGTTTGGGTTAGGTTTAGTTAGGTTCTTCTCTACAATATCAATGAAAAAACTCATAGTTATTCAAAATTGCGAGTTTATTTGTTGTTACGAAACAAAAGAGTTACATATGGGGTTAAACTTAACTAGGAGTGGCTTTTAATGTTAAAGCGTGGCACTGCATGTCCTCAGCAAACTTTTCATAAGATGGTACGTAACCACTGAGTGCTAATCGCAAGCATGATGTCATATGATCGTCAGTTAGTCGATTGCGATATTTTGACTTAATTATCTTCATTTCAGAAAATGCAGACTAGCACAAGTAAGATGACCCAAAAAATGCCGTCAGTTGAAGGGCGATTTGCCTTACATTCGGATATTTATCTTCAGATATAAAACGCCACAAATTTGTATCAGATAGTGTAGCTTTGACATACAATGAGATATAATCTGCAGCAACTCATTTTCAACAGAACATGAGTTCATATTAAACTGACTTGCTATTTCAGTAGCTAATTCCTCAATGTTTTTACATGAAAAAGGATAACTCATAAATGATGCTATATTTTCCAATTTACTGCAATCATAAAAACGCATTTCGAATTGTCCCAAAATATTTGATAATTCAGCCTCATACGTATCATAATTCAACTGAGGAATCCTTGCTTTCAAAGACGGAAAATGTTTCAGATCCTTTCTTTTCAGTTGATCTATCATAAGTTGCAATTTACTTTTGAATGCGTTTACTGCGCTAATCATCTCAATAATAGTTTTTCCTTTACCTTGCAGTTCCAAGTTAACGGTGTTTAAGTGTATTGTGATGTCAGTGCCAAATCAATGCCAAATCATTTAGCCATTTTTACGTTTTTCAAAATCTGAGTGTCATCACTTCTTTCGCCTATAAAAGCTGTTATTTCGGGCAATAATTCTTGAAACCATTCTAGGAATTTTCCGCGACTCAACCACCTGACGTCCGTGTGAAGAACTAAATCAATGTGTTCAGCTGACTCCCTATCTTCCAACTGCAACTGAAAGAGCCGCCGTTGCAAGCTACGTGCACGGATGGAATTCACAATTTTTATTGCAATGTCCATAATTTCCTCCGTGTTTAAAAGTTTTGAACACAAAACTTTGTTGATGTATAATGCAATGAAATGAAAAAAATGAAGGAAATTCTTCATTAGCTTGACACAATGCCACAAAACCGTTTTTGTTTCCAGTTATTGCTGGTGCTCCATCGGTTGTAATGCACATTAATTTATATATTGGAATGATTGTCAAAAATTCTTCCTTAGCCAACATGTCATTGAATACCATCCGAATAAAAATACACAGCTGGGCAGTTCTGTCATATCGATGGATTCGTCGAACTGTAAAGAAAAGTATGTACATTCCATGATATCATGTTTTAGTTTATCTGCGATGTCTTGACTCATGACTTTAATACGCCTTGTGACAGTCTGACGAGATAACTGAAGTTCTCTAATAGCAGACATGATTTCTGTTTTATTTTTAAAATCTCCAAATAAAGTCTCACCCGCTTCAATAAATGCTTCCTTCACCACCGATTCATCTTCAAATGGTTTCTTGTGTTTCGCCAAAATATGAGATATTTTAAATTACGCGATGGTAGTAGCTTTTGATTGTTTGGCTGGTCTTGTGAACATGGATTGTTCTTTTTTCAAACAAGATATCAAATCACTTACTTTTCGTTTTCTTAATTCACTATGTGGCGGAAAATCCTTTTCATAGTTTTTATGAACCGTTTTATGATGCCTCTCTAAGTTACCACGCTTAGGTATTGCAACTGACGCACGATAAATAACACAAATGCACTTATCCTTCACCATAGAAAAGAAAAATTCTTCCTCCCAATCCTTATTAAAATTATACGTTTTAGATTTATTCACTGCACTCATTTTCCACTATTTAATAATAAACTTTGTATCGACGTAGGATCGCTATCAAGTTACAATTCAGAATAACTCCAATTCCTGCAGGCGCAACATTTATATCGGCGTGAACGAAAGTCTCGAATGGGTCCGTCAAACGCGCTGCCCGAAATTAGACTGAACTGTCTCTCGTCTAGAAACAACACGGTTTTTCTTTGACAAGTGACGCGCGTTCCTTTGATAAAGCCACCTTTTGCCGCAAGCAGTGTTATTTTATTACGTAATACATTTTTGTAGTTGATAGAATATCATCCCAAATTTAATTATTAATTATAATAAATATTGAATTAATAAAATAATTAGTTAATATATGTAAATATAAAATTTGCTGTGTGGACAGTATTTTGTTGTCCCCACTTCTTTGAATTGCAATGATGCTTAGTCAAGCATTCTATGTATTTGTATAGTTCAGTATTAATAAAAACGTTTAACTTTGTAGTGACAGTAGTTTAGTTACCTACCTACTTATTAAAATTTTTTTCTTCTACCTAAAAAGCACTCGTGATCGACCAGTCGATCGCGATCGACCGTTTGATCACCCCTGATATACCTAGAATATAGAATTCTACGATGTAATGTAAAAAAAATAATAGAAGAGTTATCATAGGGTAGCTTTCCCTCATATATTTAACACTCAAATTATTTACTTATAGCTTCAATAAAACAGATTGTAGAGTAAAATATGCAATAAAAAAATTATTTTTAGAAAAGGTTGCCGAACAATAGCAATCATTTTAAAATCCGTTTAAATCATTTATTAATTATTCTACTACACAATTCTCTGCGAAAAAATATTTGCTAAATTTAATATACAGCTAAACGGTGATCACCCTGTCATATCGGAAAATCCAGCTAACTTACATGTAGTGTTATTGTCGTTCCTTGAACTCAAACCGATGCATATAGATTTACCTACCTACTCTTTTAGGTAAAAATATATACCTCGGGGACCATCTATATCATAATGATACAAGATACAATAGTTTTACCTTCTGAGGTTAAAATTTTATGTAAAAAATTAAGTAAAAATAAAATGATTCCAAATTACTGCAACGTGAAAAGAGTTCAAAATAATAGCGGGACATGTAATTAAATATACAAAATATATAAATTCATAAAAACATATAATACATAACTTTAATTTTTTTTTAAATATTTATATTTACGAAATGGTTTACATATATTTATAATAATATTAATAGTCAATATAATATATTGTTTTTTTACATTCTATATATTATATTTTTTATAACATTGCGTGATAAAAAGGCCATTTTGCTGTTTTGTGTACTCTTTCTTTGCCTTACATAATGTTAAAAACTCTTGAATCTGGTCCTCTTTAATTTCAAGAAATTTAAATAATTGTTTAACCCTTTCAACATTCAGCTCGCCTGATTCATTTTGGATGCCGATATTTAAATTCACACAGTAGGCAAATTCACCTGCTTTTTCAGGATCACTTTCTTTTCCAGAGCCAACTTCGTTGACCAATTCGTCCGTAACACGTAATGATTTCTGGCAATGAACCTCGATAGCTCGTTTTGTTATAAGTTGATGTTCCCGTGTCTGTGCCTGAAATTTAGAATTAGTAAAATATTAATATAAACTGCTAACAGATAATAAAAAATTGGAATATAGAATTTGGTAGTTTGTAAAATATAAGAACAAGTTTGATGACTATTATTTAGGAATGCCTAACGTATCGCAGAGTAGCGGGTAGGTACTTCCAAGGATAGACTTTCTTAGGATAGACTTAATTCAGGGATGCGACCCTGCCCTACGCGAGCCTTGATTCTCTCTCAACTCCTGTGGAGAAAAATCATGTCCTAACCCCATTCCTACCCAATACCTACTATTCTACCAATTTCTCAAACCAACTTACTAACCCACCTGGCAAGCGTGGTGTTTAAATTCCAAAACCCCCTCAGCATGAACAGATATTCAAGAAAATGGCCCCAAGTCTCCGACAGCTCGCTAGTTCCCAACCAAGGTAGCGGTAGGACTTACGGAGAGCGGGTGCGAAGAATCCCCGGGTTTTAGGAGGCTACCAAGAAAGACAAACGCTGCACTTAATTACGTATAATGTAAGAACCTTATCTAAGGATAAAAAAATGACGAAACTGGAAGAAGAACTCAAACATGTGAAATGGGCTATTATAGGAATTAGCGAAGTAAAAAGAAGAGGTAAAGATTAGGTCAAACTTAAATCAACAGATGCAAGGTTTGAAGTGTTGATAAACAAGAAAGTGGAAATCAAACAAGTGGAAAAATTTAAATATTTAGGTGCACTTGATAAAAACGGCTTGGACGAAACCAAAATTAAAGTATGAGCTCTGAAATGTCTACACTTCCAGAATAAAAATAAAAAAGGCAATATAAGTGCTAATAATAAGTGGGACGAGAGTTTTTTTTATTGACAATAATGGAACAGTATTATGTGTTATTTGTAACTTTACAGTCAAAAATTATAAAGCTAGAAATTTAGGTCGATATTGTGAAATCAATTATCCTGAGTTTATCGGTATTCAGCAAAATCCAAATTAAGATCAAATCAAAAGTCTAATTCAGAAATATTGACAGAATTTTAAAATATAATTCAAAACTTGAAATATTTTAAATCGTTTTTTGATTTCTTTCTGATTTCATTAAAATCTAACATAATTCAAGGTGAAGTTTCCATTTCTAATAGCGTTGCAAGAAGATTAAGCTCTACAAGTAAAATATATGTCGATCCTGATTGCTGAATTTTGGAAATTTATACCAGAATCGAATCTACTTTTGTTTTCATATTTGGAACCACGTACTTGTATGATTTATTTTATTCCAATTTAAAATTCGTGAAATCTAAATCCCGATCAGTCTTCACTAACCAGTATTTGAAGGAATTACTAAGAAGTGCTGTGATCAATTGTTCACCAAATTTAAATAAATTATTAAAGAATTTGAATAAATGTTATTTAAATATCATAACCTTAGCCAAAAGGTTACAATAACTTTACTTAACTTTATCTCAGATCGGGAAGCAAAACAAATAGCTTCCTATCTGTATAAACAGCTTTAAGAAGGTCCACCAGAAGTAAAGCCGCGTTTACATGATGACAACTGGCGAGACAATTGTCATTGGACAATTGTCATCACGTGGTTGCGGATTGTCGGAGGCCAGTCTATTTGAACGAGAAGATATTTATACGGGGCCAACTATTGCCATGGCAGTAGACAACTACAAATAAGACAAATCACGTGTATGTTTTGACTGACACAAGAGAACTAGAGGGAATTGGCAAAAACAAGATAGCACTACTGGCCTACACCGTTCACACGGCGCCAATTGTCGCGACAATTGAGATTTAGAGTGGTGGGGGAATCACTGGGCGCAGCTCATTGTCCTCAGTCTACTCCCGGAGACAACTGAATTTTGAGCCAATTGTGAGGGCAGTTGGCAAGGCAATTGGCCTGAAGTGTTTAGACGAATGGGATGTAAGGGACTGTGATGCGCAATATATAGCCTCTCCTGTCAAAATGTCAACCTCACCTGCCCGTGTGATCTTGATTCTGATCATCCGGTGCATCCTGCTTTACAACAAACGAGGCTCTGGCGTCCGAGCGATTGTCGGTATAAGCAATCCCCCACTTACTGACCAACGGCTTCGGGCGGACGAGTTGGTAAGTGACAGGGCACTCTTTTGTCCTGGAATTGAGAAATTGATTCCGAAGGCGGAAGAACTATAGAACTACAAATTAGTCAACGGCATAAGGATGCAGAAAGCAAAGGAGAACTACTGCATTAAAGGCCTTGTGGCACTCCTAGTTTTAACTATCATGGCTGTAAATAATTTAGGTCAAAACATTAATGATCATGGATCTCGGAATCCAAGATCCGGCAAGAGAGGACAATCTCAAGACTGCAGGGCCTCTCAGGTCGTTAATAAGCGAAATCCTTGCAAAATAGCCACATGGAACGTCAGAAGCATGTTTGAGTCAGGTAAAATATACAATGCCATAAAAGAAATGAAAAGAATGCAAATCAGCATCCTCGGAATAAGCGAAATGCGATGGCCGGGATCAGGAGTATGTGACGTAGATGGATATCAAGTGTACCATGCCGGAAATACAGATGCCAAACACTATAATGGAGTTGCAATCGTAGTAGCAAAACACTTAGCTCAATCAGTTTTAACTTATATTCCCATATCTGACAGAGTAATGCTAGTAAAATTTAGTTCAAAGCCGTTCATTACCAACGTAATTCAGGTCTATGCCCCAACATCATCTAGTGATGAAAAAAAATTAGAAGCATTCTACAAAGATCTTACTGATGCTCTAGATCTTGTCAAAGCAGCAGAAAATACCATAGTCCTCGGAGATTTTAACGCTAAAGTCGGCAAAGGACGCTGTTTGAACATTGTGGGGGAATATGGCTTGGGAAACAGAAACGAACGTGGAGATCGACTTGTCCAGTTCTGTCAAGAACACGATTTCATTATATCGAATACCCATTTTAAACTACCACCGAGAAGACTCTACACCTGGAAGTCAAATGCAGAATCAGAGGACAAAATTATTAGGAGTCAAATCGACTTCATTCTAATAAAAAATCGATTTAGAAACTGCATCAAATCAGTTAAAACTTATCCAGGTGCTGACATTGGGTCCGATCACAATCCCATAGTAGCTGTAACCCAATTAAAATTAAAAAAGGTGATCAAAAAGAAGTCTCGCAAAAAGATTGATACAGCCCAACTACAAGACGAGAAAGTTAAGGAATCAGTTCAAAGACAACTGAACGAAAATTTAATTTGGGAAAATATTGGTGAAAACGTCGATGAGGGCTTAAATAAAATCGTAACGACAGTAAAAGAAATCTGTGTGAGAAATTTACAAGGCAAGTCAAAGCCAAAAAAGCAGGCTTGGATGACAGATGATATACTGGATTTGATGGAACAACGGCGACTAGCAAAAACCAACGAAACACTTTACAATAGCATACAAAAAGAAATTCGACGTAAAATACGAGAAGCAAAGAGTCAACATCTAGCCAAACAGTGTCGACACGTTTAACATGTATAAAAAAGTAAAAGAAGCGGCTGGTATCTTCAATAAGAAACAAAATGCATTGCTACAGGATGAAAATGGTAAAGTAATATTCGAAGTAGAGGACAAACTTAAAGAATGGGAAAATTACGTCACGAACCTATTCGAAGACGATAGGAGTAGTTCACCTCCCGATATCACTAACTGCGACGGACCCCTAATAACACGCTGTGAGGTTACAAAGGCCATACAATCATCAAAAGATGGCAGAGCGACTGGTCCTGATGAAATTCCAACTGAAATATATAAGCTTATAAAGGATAGCAATGTTTTAGAGGCTATAACTTCGTTTTTCAATACCATTTATACCAGCGGACAACTACCTAATGGTTGGTCTAACTCACTGTTTATAGCTCTACCTAAGAAGACAACAGCAAAAACCTGTGCTGATTATAGAACCATCAGTTTGTTAAACCACTTATTGAAAATTTTTCTGAAGGTAATACATGGTCGTATCTACAATAAATGTGAGGAATACCTGAATGACACTCAGTTTGGTTTCCGTAACGGATTTGGAACGAGAGAGGCACTGTTTGGAATGAACGTACTTGCTCAAAGATGTCGTGATATATCTGTAGACATATACTGTTGTTTTATTGACTTTCAAAGGGCATTTGATCGTGTTAAGCACTCCATATTGATCGAAGCTCTAAAAGACATTGGCTTGGACGGCAGAGATGTTCGAATAATTGCAAATTTATATTGGAATCAAACAACATCAGTTTTAGTAGATGGTGTGGAATCACAAGCTCTCAATATTAAAAGAGGAGTACGGCAGGGATGCCTCTTGTCACCCCTGCTTTTTAACGTTTACTCCGAAAGAATTTTCAGAAAAGCACTTTCTGAAAAACAAGAAGGAATACTTGTGAACGGCGAAGTCATCAATAATTTGCGATATGCGGACGATACAGTACTCCTAGCTTCTAGTCAAGAAGATCTGCAAACACTACTTGATAGTGTCGTTGAGAGTTGTAGGGAGGCAGGTCTGGATCTTAACATAAGGAAAACCAAAATACTCGTAATAAGTAAACAACAGAATATAAAACCGTCTATATATGTAAATAATATCAAACTTGAGCAAGTTGATAAAATCGTCTACCTTGGATAGCAATTAAATTGTAATGCAGAAAATCACGGCGAAATTAGATCCAGAATAGAGCAGGCTAGAGCTGCTTTTAGAAGGATGTCCAAGGTGTTATGTAACAGAGACCTAAAATTGGCATTAAGGATCCGCCTACTTCGCTGCTACGTGTTCTCGGTCTTACTTTATGCTGTCGAGTCCTGGACTGTGAATAAAATCGATCTAAATCGCCTTGAGGCTTTCGAAATGTGGTGCTATAAAAGAATTTTAAAAGTTTCCTGGGTGAAGAAGATTCGTAACTCCACAATACTAGAACGTCTCAGCAAGACTACTGAGATCATAAAAAGCATCAAGCAGAGAAAGCTGGAATATTTCGGACATGTAATGAGAGGTCCCAAATATGGATTGCTACAAAACATCATGCAAGGAAAAATAGCAGGCAAACGCAGTCCAGGACGAAGAAGAACCTCATGGTTGAAGAACTTGCGAGACTGGTATGGTGTAGATACAAGCATGCTATTTAGGGTGGCAGTGAATAAAATTAAAATAGCTATGATGGTAACCAACGTTCTGAAAGGACATGGTACATGAAGAAGAAGTTTAGACGAACACAATAATTTCATACCAGTAAGTTGTCTTCTAACAACTGTCTCGCGATTTGTCATCATGTAAACGCGGCTTAAAGCATAAATATTACTGTATTCGGACAACCGTGGGAGACAAAACAAAAATTGCCATCCAATTGCGATATTTTTGATAACTAAATACGACCTTAACACACTGGACTAAAAATTTTTAATTTCTAGACACACAAGAATGTAATTTGATAATGACCATGAGAAATACTTTCCAACTTATTCGACAATGTAGTAAAAAATATTATGTCAAGGTAAAGTAAATGACGGATAAAGGAAAAAATCATTTTATGGATTTTGCGACTTTACTAAGAAGTTGCTTGTAGGCAAGGAAAGTGGACACCGACTTAATTGGAAATTAGGATTAGATGTCAAAACGAATTCGGATATAACAATAGTTGTGAAGACGATAAATCATTCAAAACAATGAATTTCACCAACATAGTTTTCACATCACCACCACCAAATCTCCTAAAATGTAAATACCTAAATCCAATTTCTTTGTAAAAAAGTAATATTATCGACTAAAATACATAAATAATAGTTTCTATGGTTTTATTTATAATTAAAAACAGGATGAAAATAATAATTAAGCATTTTACAAGCAAGGATATATATATATATATATATATATATATATATATATATATATATATATATATATATATATTATATATATATATACATATATATACATATATATACATATATATATATATATATATATATATATATATATATATATATATATATATATATATATATATATATTGAAACATGGACGTTTGAACGTTAAGGGATTCAATGAAACTAAGCAAACAGACAACATCCTAATACAACAGAAGTTCTCCAATTTAATAACAAATATAAAAACCTGCAGAGAGACATACGTCTTCTTCTTTAGGTACCATCTCCTCTAACGAGGTTGGTAATCATCACAGCTTTTTTTACTTTTGAAATTGCAGCTCTGAACAAGTCGACGGAACTGCAATTATACCACTTTCTAGATTGTTGAGCCAGGAGATGCGTCTTCTTCCAATACTTCGTTTTTCCTCTATTTTTCCCTGCATTATGGTTTGTAGCAACACATATTTATCCCCTCTCATAACGTGGCCGAGATATTGTAACTTTCTTATCTTAATCGTATAGAGACACATACGTAAACTCTGATTATTTTTTACTTAGACTGACAGATAAAATAATTAAAAAGCATAAACCAAAAAAGAAAGTGCAATCTAAATTTACTTTTCAAGAACTACGACAGTTTGAGGTAGTACAGAATTACCAAAATGATATACAAGCAAGCCAAACAAGTTAGTGCTACTATAAATAACTTACAACAAAAGTAGAGGATTTAGAAAAAAACACTGGTTCGACGACGAATGTAGAGCAGGGTTAAAAATATCCGATTAAATATTAAAAAGTTTGCAATCGCACAAACAAGTATGTCCAACAACAAAAAAAAAGTAAATAAAACACGTAGGGCTCGAAATAGAAGATATAACGACAATAAAGTAAAGCGTATTAAAAAAGAGTAAAAGAAAAACGAAAAAAAAATTTACAAAAGTTAAAATACATTAAAACTGGATATCAAGGAAGATCGACGAGTATAAAAGAAACGCAAGGAAACCTGATAGTGGACGAGGATCAATTATATGAAAAATTTAAAGAATATTTTGAAAAGTTGCTAGATGGAGAAATGACTACTAAAAAATCATGATGTTTCTCAAGCCCAAATAGTAGAAGAACAAATACCACAACCAACAAAAGAAATTAGTTGATAAATAGGTCCACTATTTTTTTCTACAATGAGCACCAATGCTCAGCGTACAGCAAGTATTTCTGACAGTATTGCCAAGTCTCTCCACTAATATATCAAGGGGAATAGTCAAAGAATATTTATTAGTTCGTATTTTATATAAATTAAAAAATTGCAGAAACCTCCTCTGTGGCTCAGTGGTAAGAGCGTCTACCTTTAAACCTAAAGGTCGTGAGTTCGAATCTCATCTGGGTGGAGAAATTTTCGTTTATTAAAAATTATTGAATGAAAATAATTTCTATCCTTTAGCGATCGGTACTCATCGGAGGGACTGCAGACGTTCGGATACAATTAGCGTCTCTTAGCAAAGACAATGACGTCGACTTTGCTAAGCATCAAGAAAATTACTCTACACACACACACGCACACACACACACACACACACACACACACACACACACACACACACACACACACACACACACTGTGACTGTGACTGTACCACGCCAATGATCTTAGTTGTCGAGGCATTACCTCAATAATACTAATAAAAAAATGCAGAATTTATAAAAATATAATAAATGTATTTTTAACAGCTTTTTTTTTATATAGAAATCATACAATACAAAGCATACAAGACATGGCAACGCTGCCAAACACCAATATTGTGTTCCGTGAAGCTTCATTTACGGCTATGTTTACGTTATCCAAGTGTAGATGTCCCAAAAACAAAATATATAGCAGGGTATCAAAGAAAGAGCAAGTAAAAGTATCATTGTAACGAAGGCGACATAAAAAATATAATTTTAGGCTACGAAGCAGTAACATTACTCTGAATATAAAATAATGAAATGATGATCTTGAACAGGCCAGAGACAGGCAGAAAACGCTATTCCTGTAGGAAGAGACAGTAGCAGATAAACGTAGGGAGGAAATAGTTAAATCCCCCCCACAAGGTCCACAATTAAAGAAAACCCATAATTATGTCTTTATTGTAGTTTTTTTATGTCTTTGGATTGGTGTTTCATTGGTCCCCTTCAAGATAAATGTCTAGATCCGCTACTGGAGACATAACAGAAGTCTAACAACAGAAGTTGACATAAAATATTGTTTATATATAGAAGATTATTTAGTATTTAATAATTGAGTTATAAATATAAACAAATTCTTATTACGTAGTTAAACACGTAGTTTTGACTAATTTAAATAATAAATAATATCTCACCTTAACAACAACTAAACAAGCCAACATACACAAGCACAAGATCTTCATTTTATTGTCGATGCTAAAGAACCGCATGTAACTAAGCAAGAGCTACAGTCAACGAATTATATATTGGGCAGGTTAATTCATTTTGGTACTTAATATGGGTTTTATTGACCAGTTTTTTGTGAGTTATTACTGAAAGAAAGTTTATATTGTTGAGACGCCGAAGGTCGAACAACAAGGCTAAAGCGGATAGGCGCATATTTTAAAGAAAAGAAAATATTTTGTCAATGGCTATAACCAGTATTATAACCGTTTTGTTAATGTAAATATCAGATGGGCATCTTACATTTATTTAAATAAAAAACTTACGAATGATATGACATAGGTATGGGTACTCATAGTAAAATTAAATATAAATATTATTATTTTTTGTCTACTATGAGACCTATGTTATTATTCGAAGAAATAAAGGACAAAAAAAGGCAAAACTATCGGGTTTCCGCAGATGAATCTAAATGAATGTAAATGCCGTTTTGAGCATGCGATTCTTAATAATCTCTTGTAACCGTATCTGTGATCATTATGAAGATCTTATTGCAACACAACGGTATGCCACACAATAACAAAGCTGAGATATTAAGGTTCTTCTTCTTCTTCAAGTGCCCTGTCCGTTGCGAACGTTGGCTATTAACATGACAATTTTGATCTTATTTGCGGCGCTTCTGAATAGTTCGACCGATGTGAGCCCGAACCACTTCCGCAGATTTTGGAGCCACGAGTGTCTTCTCCTGCCTGGCCCTTGCTTACTGTCTATTTTTCCATAGACAATCAATTGTAGCAGACTGTACTTATCGTGTCTCAATATGTGGCCTAGATATTCAAGCTTTCTTTGTTTAATTGTATTCACGATTTTTTTCTCCTTTCCGATTCTTTGGAGTACCTCTATGTTGGTGACATGTTCGGTCCAGGATATACGAAGAATGCGTCGGTACACCCACATTTCGAATGCTTCTAGTTTTCTCGTTAGCGTCTTCGTCAGCGTCCAGGCCTCCACACCATATAGCAAGATCGGAAAAATGTAGCATTTAACTATACGTAGTTTTAGGAGAAGAGACAAATCCTTGCTTATGAGGAGCTTTTTCATATTGCTAAATGCTGTTCTAGCTCTTTCTATTCTTGCCTTAATTTCTATGGTCTGTTCCCATTTTGCGTTTACGTTGATGCCAAGGTACACATAAGATTCTACATGGTAAATTAGTATGTTACTTATCCGTAATTGTCGAGCAGGTTGTTGCTTTTTGCTTATCGGCATTTACTTTGTCTTCTTGAAGTTGAGGCTCAGGCCGTATTCCTCACTAACTGAATAAAGTCTTTCCATTACTTGTTGTAATTCGTCTATGGTACTGGTAAGGATCGCCGTCTCGTCGGCATATCTTATAATGTTCGTTAACTCGCCGTTTATTTTTATGCCCTCATTTGCATTTGCCATACATTTGTTAAATATTTCCTCGGAATACATATTGAATAGGAGTGGGGATAATATACACCCCTGACAAACACCTCTTTTGATCTGCACGCTTTCAGTGAGTTCGTTGCCAATTTTTGCTCTTGCTGTTTGACCCCAGTATAGGTTTGCTACAATTCGAATGTCCTTGTCGTCAATACCTGTCTTTCGCAAAATACCTATCAATTGTTCATAATTGACATTGTCAAATGCTTTTCTAAAATCTCCAAAGCACAAATACACGTCCTTATCAACGTCTCTACACCGCTGTATAAGCACCTGGAGAGCGAAAATTACTTCTCTAGTTCCAAGTACTTTCCGAAAACCAAACTGCGATCTATCAATATTTGACTCACATTTATTATATATTCTTCTATGAATGATCTTAGTGAACGCTTTAGTGACATGATTGATCAAGCTTATAAGCCGGTAGTCATCACAAATCTGGGCATTTGGTTTCTTCGGGATTGTAATAAATGTTGACTGCAGCCAGTTCTCCGGGATTTTACCGGTATTATATATGTTGTTAAAAAGTACAACTAGATTATCAAGGAACTGTTTGTCTGATTTACATAGGATCTTTAATATTTCGCAGGGTACATTGTCCGGACCTGCTGACTTCTTGTTTTTTTTTAGTGTTGCAATGTCCTGTTTCTCCTTCTCCATATAGGCGATTATCAGTCCTGTCAGATGCAAATAATTTTTCTATGTATCATTTCCATATTTTTAAGATCGTTGATGCCTCCGAGATAAGATTTCCATCGCTATCTTTTATGCTGTTGGGTGACTTATTGAATTTTCTTTTGTTTGTCATCAATTTTATTTTTTTGTCCATATTGTAACTGTCGTATTTTCGTTCGTATTGTTCTATCTCCCTGCATTCGTTGGAAAACCATTTTTCTTTGGCTTCTCGAATTTTGGTTCTTATGGTTTTGTGTATTTGCTGGATATGCTGGATTTGCTGGTTTAAAGTTTTAAAATTTGTTAAAAAATATTTATTGATCTTTAGAAAGCCAAAACTTCTGTTATTTGATTGTGCTAAACATTATAGATAACGCGAAAAGTTCTAAAAAGTTTTAAAAAAATATGACCATGAGATTTTTTTGCACACACACATACACACAACAATTTTTGTGACCCAAAGCTCCGAGTGACATGTGTGTTCCAATGGAACAGTGGGACCCACATGTCCGAAGATCAAACCGGTCACACTCCGTAATGGAGAGGTACCTACTACTACTTCGATGTCCACTTTGTGAGATACGGTCAGGTAAAGCTTTATTTCGAAAGAGATGAACATAAAAGTATCCGTTTAGGATCGTTGGATCCTCTTCAGGCTGGAGTTAAATGTGTTGTGTTTGAAACGAAAGCAAAACAGACCGAAAAACCACCCGGTGTAGTGGTGTTCTTCTGGTGAAGCATTTTGAAGGCTGTCGAGATAGAGTTACTATTCTAATCAGAGACAAAAGGCTTGTAAGGATGTGATGTTCTTTCCAGAAAGAATTTGTGTGTTTTTTGAGCTAAATGCGACAGGGTCGAGTCTCTAGTTGCTATTGTTTCTGTAGTCGTTTTTGCGTCTACAACTGACGTCAAAACTAGTATATTGCACTGTAATTTTGTTATCGGGTGTGTTTCCTAACGGCCAGGCCTCGCCAAATTTTGAGAGGTTACTTGTCGCTGTTTGCCCAGTGTGAATGTGTGTGTATGTGTTAGCCCGACAGTGATGGACGCTACCATTTTGATCTTACTTGGCTCCGTCAGTCGCCTAGATTTGCCCCGTCCGACTTGGATCAGATCCCGTGTTAAGTAACAAGGTCTGTTGACGGCGGAGGGTCCCAGCGACGAAGATGCCTTTCACTGTCAGGCTGGTGTGAGCGTGTGTTGTGTAAATATGTTTGAGTGTGAATGTGTACAAGTTTAAGTCGGCAAAGGCGAAATCCGTGTTCTCTAGTGTTGACCCTTATTTCTACTATACCTAACCTGAGGTACCCAGCTTACCCCAAAGTTATAACCAAACACCCCTCCCCATTGCAGGACATAACGAATAAGGAGGCCTTGTTCCGAAAGTTACTTTGGAAGACATCCTTGTAACCACGTCCGGATTGTGTGAGCTCAGTCACTCAGCCGCTGAATTGGCAACATAATTTTTGTTTTTGTCGTCGGATGATCACCCGAAGGGTCTATCATCAAGCCCACGTTTGTCGATACGTGACCTTGTTGCTCAAGCTTCGCGAACTTAGTGATTTTGATCTACTTAGAGGGCCTTTTAGGTGAGCAGCTTTTCTGCCTGTGCTGCTAATTAGCATTTACTCTATTAATCTACTTTTCTGTATTTGTACTGCATAGCTGCTATGCAGTACAAATATACAAGGTTATAAGTATTAAAAAATAAAAATAACAAATTAAAAGAACTAAAATATAAGGATAGGGTATTTTTTGGGGTTTCTGTTACTGCGTTTATTCGACTACTGCTTGGCTATAATTTCTTTACTGCTCTTTTGGGTCTATTTTATATCCAGCTAACTACTGTCTGGGCCATTTATGTACTGTCCTTTGGTTTTCGTCATAGTCTGTCAACTAACTCTCTGAATAGTCTACTAGGATGGTTCCCAAAATCATTAACCCTATTAGTATAGTATATTTAGAGCCTTTCTGATCATATGGTTCTAGAATATTTGTATTTTGTTTCTGTATGATTTGCAATCATACAGAATGCGGCCGAGGAGTATGTTGGTATTGGTAAAATTATACAGTTTGCCATCCTAATATTTGTTCCAAATCTCAGTTTACTCTTCCAACATATTTCAACATATGAGAGTTCACTTCTAATTATTTTAGCTTTCGAAGTTTGTTTTACGTGTTCTGTAAAGGTCAGCCTTGTTTCCAATGTTACGCCTAGATATTTGGCTTGATTTGATCATTCAATATTTTGCATATGGAATAGGTATAGAACCTTATTTGGTCCGCCCCTTTTTTTGGTACATGACAGCCGGTGTTTTGTTAGGATTCATAGCTGCCTTTCACTGTATACACCAATATTGTATTTCGTTAAGTACCCTTTGTAGGGTCTTATGGTTAGATATGAGTTGGTATTGCTAACAGCTGTCGCTGTTTTTTCTGTGTATCAACTTAGCAACGATCTGGGTTCAGAAGGGGTGTCTGGTCGACGGATATAAGAGAAGATATACCTTCGCCTCAGTATAACTATATTGGTTCATTTTAACAGCAGACCTTCGTGCTAGACTCTATTGAAAGCTTGACTGACATATAGAAAGGCCGCTGCTATACATTTTTTTTCATTGAACCCTTTTGTGATAAATTCTGCTAGACGTAGCACCTGAAGTTTACATGCGTGTTCGGATCTGAATTCGAACTGTGTTTCAGGTATTGTTCCCATTTCTTCTGATTTTTGGTTTAGCTTAGCTAGTATGACCCGCTCTACAATTTTGCTTATTGTTGGTCATAAGTAATTTATGTCCTTGGTGAGTTAAAAAATAATATTTTTTTTTTTTTGAGCATTGAAAATCGTAATTTTGCATTTTGTTAGTAACTATAGTTTTGGTTAACTATATATCGAATTTTCACA